GGATGACATTGCAGGGTGCAAATCAGAACATAATGACATATTGGATCATACATTTGTGGTTTGGCAGAAAGACAAGTGAGGCCACAAGGAATTTTACAGACTTAAATAAACAAGCAGAATCCACAGTTTGAAAATTGAGAGTAGGGCCATTCTAGGATTCACAGAATGCAAAGTCAGGGAAGATGTAGAAGAAATAAACCTTCATTAGAGAGCATAAAGAGATCATACTGCTGGAGTATTAGAAGATATATTAGTTCATTTCAGTTTTAATTTCTTAGTTTCTTGTCAAGATAATAAGAAAACTGTAACAGAAGATAAGTTCCTGCCGAGTGTAGTTCACATCATTATTTATCAAGTACCTATTATGTAAAGGGAGCTTTGCAGGAAAGCAAAGCAACATTGTTTGATGAACGAGCTCTGATAATGGTTAAATTATGAATGGATCTCATTGCTGTTGCAGGACTAGAAAAAAGTAATAAAAAAAAAAAACAATATGAAGCCATGCCTATTTATCTGTCTGGTGGAAATTGAGGCTGTGTTGCCTAGCTTTCTCTTCAGACAAGCTTAAAAAATATTAAAAAGTTTGATTTAATTAGAGATCCACATCTGAGAATTTCAAACGTTTCTGCTATTCTGATACATTCAGAAATATGATTTTAATGGTCTGTATACTGGGCTATGATTGAGGTAAAAATATATCTTTCAACCTGCATTATCTAGCAAAGAAACCAGTGACAGCATATATAGGTGTCTAATAATTTGAGTTTCAAACAACATAGTTTTAATACTAAGATGTAAGATAATTTTGGAATATAAAAAAAGACTTCTTTTTCCTCAGGAAGTATTTTTAAATCATGCTTTGTTTTAATTTAAATATCACAGTTTACTACAGTAGCAGATAAATTAGAGTCCACTCAACAAGACCTTTGAAAATATTCAACAAAGAAATAACAGGACACATACTACTAGTTCAAAAAAATTGTATATGAACTCTAGAAGCATTATGTAACTTGTATTCTACTATCATATTCTGTAGCCTTCTGTTCCTGAATGAAATCTAGACATTGGCAGTGTAACTGTCTATCGAACAATATATTTTACTATACATATTTTTGTGAAAGAAGCCTGTAAAATTATCATCAATTATGAAAAATTTGGAATTCTTACAGCTACAAATATGAAACTAGTTTTTATTATTACTATTGCCTTTCCAAGGCATTTGAATTTCAATTCTATCACAGTCATAACATGAAATTTTTAGAGTGTTGACATAAATCAGCTATGTGTATATATATGTATGGCAATCTTCCTGCTTCCTCCTATATGTATCCATATCTTTTTTGAACATGAACTAGGATCATATGACAAAATAAATGATGCACTGTTATTTATTTTGAAAGATTAAAACAGATTCAAAGCTATGTCTGCATTAAATTGAGTGTATGCTTGCTGGAAATATCAGGAATATATTGATTATAACCAACAAGACATTAATTTAGCAGATTTGCCAAAATTTTAAGGCAACTTTTTGGTCATCAGGATCCTTATTTGACATGTATATGCTATGTTTCAAGGATTCTTCATATGACATATTTTTCTAACTGTTTTATTATCCCAGTTAAGGTCATGTAAGCACGTCACATTGGGTTAAACTACCACTTTTAAAATGGCAAACCCAAAATTATGCACAATGCTTCAGTCAGTCTTCTGCATTGAAATTTCATATCTTTACTGAATGCTTTCAGACTGTTTTAACTACTCAGGTAGCTCTACAGCTATATGTACATATACATGTTTGTATATGTGTACATATATATACACATACATATATTAAAATAATATCTGCTATTTAAGATCACTTTCATCTGACACTTTTGAAAGTGTCTGATATGCATCTTTATTTCACTTCTTATTGTTAATTTAATTTCTTTTTTCTAGCTATTCCAAACCTTTGTGAATCCTGATCCAATATATTAGCATATATTAGCTTGGCTTCCAAGTGTTCTATAAACTTTTGTCTTTATCCAGGCTATTTTGAGTTAGAATTAAGAACTGAGCTTGGGTGAGCATTTTTAGAGGTTGACATTAATATCATAATTATCACTTATCATGGAGAATATCAGCATAGCAGATATTCCATCCTACTACATTTTACCTTTATTCAGTTCATATTATTTTTTTCTTGTTCACTTGAGTGTCATCCTAAACTTTCTATAATATCTTGTTTATTTTTTAATCATTACATTTAATGTTTAGTAATTTGTTATTGCTCTTGCTGTTATTGCTCTAATTTTGCAGTTTCAGTAAGACATATTTTGTTGTTTTGATATGTACACACATGCACATATTTACATATATATATTTTTTTTTTCTTATTCTTTTGATATTCTTCCTCAATGTTCAAAGTTTACTTGCTCCAGTTCAGTGAGCCTTCTGCCAAGTACATTTTTTGCAGTTCCAGTGAGGTATAGAATATCCCTTGTCAAGACCTCATTATTCTGTTATGCTAGGCTTTTCTAGGTAGGAAGTTTTTTTGCTTCCTGCATCCTCCTTTCTTTTCAAAAGTCAAACTTTCAACTGAAAAAAAAAATATGTCTCCATGTCTTAGAGCTTTCTATTTCCCAAAACTTAAAATTCTCTAGAAAGATATTCTGGCATTCTTCTTGTCTCTGATGGAATTTCCAATTAATTATCCTGTAAGAGAGCATGCATCAGGATTAATAACATAAAGTGTACACTAGACCAGAGTCATAAAAGTCACTCCCCATCTATACTACATGCTGACTTATCATTTTACTTGTTATTATTCATATTTCCTGAGTCAGGGACTAGTGACTTACATTTCTTCTTCAGAGGACCAGTTGTGAGATTCTCAAGCATGTCTATGCCCATAAATACTTAATTCATATATTTTTCTTAGAATAAGTAAATGTTCAATAAAGGAAATTTTATATCAATTATCATGCCACATCCAACAACTGGTAGACTGGCTTCCTCAAAGGTCAGTTTTTCTGGGAGAGTACCATGACTGTTACATTAATAAATAATAGATACAATGTAATTACTCCTATTTTTCTTTCTCTATTCCATAACCTGATTAAGAATAGAGGGCAGGTGCATATTTTTTTGATAGCTAGTTCTTTTTTTGTTATTTCAGAATATTATGGGGATACAAATGTTTTGATTACATGGATTGCTTTTGCACTGCTTAAGTGAAAGTTATAAGTGTGCCCATTGCCCAGATAGTGTACATTGTACTCCTTAGGTATGATTTCACCCATCCCTTCCTCCCCTCTCTTCCCTGCACCATTTCTGGTGCACAGATGCATATTTTTTTAAATTCTTCTTTCATTGGGTAAGAAAATATTTTTCAGTTCCTCCCTAGATTACTTATTTCTCTCTATAACATACATTCGACAACTCAATCATATATGTGTATGTATATTTTCCTGTATTTTATTATCTGTATTACATTAGATATTTGAAAAAATTAACTCATTTTCTATTGCATTAATTTAGCAATGTAGAATCAAGAAAATATCATTGTAAAGTATCAGGTTGTGACTATCATACCTATATGTAACAAAATTCCAGTTTTCAGAATGAAAGGAATGGATTTGAGAAAAAGAGACCTAATTGTAATTATCTCATGATGCATTTACTTTTTAGTGCAAAGTAATTAACTCATAGGTGTAGTTGCAGGTTAAGTCCCCTGGGAAGCTGACTCCAAATTGGAGTTGGAGTGCAGCATATCAGTGGAGTGTGACCTTGGAATCTACATCTGTAGAACACAGTAGAAGGAAGAAGGATGGAGTTGGGGAGAGTAAGAAATGGAGCTGCCGAGCAGTTTTAATGCTTCTTAATTGTTGACCCCATGGGGAAGCTCTGGAGCCAAACTTGTCATTGAAGATTATCAACAATATGGGAGGAAGGGGTGGCTCAACCTTTATAAGCAGTGCACCATTAATTCTATGCTCTTCTGGAAGGGTGGGACCTTGGGTCAGGTGGCACTCCACAGCGAGGGCAACGATCATTCCCTGAAGGGGATGCAGTAGCACATCCAAGTATGTACCACAGGGTCCGTTAGCCAACAGACATTCTGGAATGAGGAATAACAATACTCAGATAAACGTATGCCATGTGCACTGAGGAACATCAGTACCAATTGTAGTGTGGCATTGTGGTTTTGCGTAGGATTCTAGAATGTGTCCAGATTGTGTCCTAATAATTTACTAGCTTTGTGATTTTTGTGTAACTTACAAGCTGGGATTCAGGTTATTTATTTTTAAGGGATTACTTATGATAAAAATTATTTTCTGCTGTAAAGTAAGGAATTTAACATCCTCTCCTTTATAAGCTTACATGGATTGATCTAACTATATCGGTTAGATACAGGCATTTACTCTAGTACATGGCACTTAAAATACACATAAAAATAGATGATTAAGTATGCTATTCATCATTAACTTCCTTATGGTTTAAAAAAAGTGCCTAAAAAAGCTTATAAGTTGATCTGGTATCTCCATAGAACTATTCTCTAAATATCAGTGGTTCTTAAACTTTTTAATGCATTGATATTACCCGAATAGTTTGCTAAAAATGCAGATATCTGTTCCTATCACTTATATTCAGAGTCACCAGGTTTGGGTAAAGTCCCACTAGCTCACCTCAATGCTTAAGACCCATTGGCTTTCAGACATCTGTAATCCTTTAAAATCTTTTAGCTATTAAGCCCATTTCCAAAATGCTTATTGCTTCCTCCCTTCTTTGTCTTACACTATTTTCCCACCCCTTTAATTTGGCTTTATTAATTTTTTAAATAGTTTTCTCAATTTGAGAACGGATGTACTTCTCTTTTAAAATGACCCCTTCATGTTCCCCTGTGCATTCCATAAACCAAAAAAGAAAATCACACATCCCCATTTTATCCATTAAAGGAAATGTGAATCTTTAATGGCGGCTTTACTAAGTATATTTTGTTTTGCTTGTGTCTATCATAGATAACACAGCCAGCATTCTGACAAGGCGGAGGCGATTTAGTCGAACTGTTCAGGATGTGTATTATCTGCCCATTATGATCTCTGATGGTGGAATCCCCTCTCTCAGCAGCAGCAGCACCCTCACCATCAGGGTTTGTGCATGCGAGAGAGATGGGCGCGTGCGGACCTGCCATGCAGAAGCGTTCCTGTCCTCGGCTGGCTTGAGTACAGGAGCCTTAATCGCTATTCTTCTCTGTGTTGTCATTCTCCTGGGTAAGTCATTCTAAACCCTAAGTGTGTGTGATGGTAATTCCGGATGAGGGGAAAATCGTTTTGACAAGATTTAAGTCCGAGGGATGTATATTGTGGGTAACAAAACATGGCTGCACAGATTGCTTTTTAATTAATTTTCTCAATACTATGTATACAAAAAATTAGCTGGCAGAAGGATTGCTTGAGCCCAGGAGTTAGAGGTTGCTGTGAGCTAGGCTGATGCCACGGCACTCACTCTAGCCTGGGCAACAAAGCGAGACTCTGTCTCAAAAAAGAAAGAAACAAAAGGAAAGGAAAGGAAAGGAAAAAGGAAAGGAAAGGAAAGGAAAGGAAAGGAAAAAGGAAAGGAAAGGAAAGGAAAGGAAAGGAAAGGAAAGGAAAGGAAAGGAAAGGAAAGGAAAGGAAAGGAAAGGAAAGGAAAGGGAAAGGAAAGGAAAGGAAAGGAAAGGAAAGGAAAGGAAAGGAAAGGAAAGGAAAGGAAAGGAAAGGAAAGGAAAGGAAAGGAAAGGAAAGGAAAGGAATTTGACCCAAATATGATGAAAGAGTTGGAATATTAGGAAGGATAGGATATGAGAGAAATAGTTTTTGAAAATATATATTTTAGAAGGAATCAATATTAAAATATTCTTAATCCCATCTTGAAAGGGCTTTTAAAATTTACTTCCAAGAACATAGGTGGCATCTTTCTAAAATAAATCTTACCAGTTCCCAAGATCAGACAAGATCAGCTATTTGGGGTGTTATGGTTACAGGATGAATAAGTACAGAGACGTAATGTTGAGAATGAGGACCGTAGTTAACAAAAATATTGTATTGTATGCTGGAAATTTGCCAAGAGGGTAGATTTTTAGGTACTTTTCCCACACACACACAAAAAGGAAGTAACTATGTGAGATGATGGATATTTTAATATGCTTAACTATAGTAACCATTTCACTATGTATAAATATATCAAAACATCATGTTGTATACCTTAAATATATATAATTACAAATAAATTATTATGTAAGTATATAAATAAATAAATAATAAAATAAAAAGAATCTGAAAACCAAGTAAAAATAGATGTATTATAGAAACTTCTACTTGTCCAAAATACTTAATAATCAATGTTAGCTGAGTTTTAACACACTTCTGACTCTAAATGGTTTTGGGCCTTAGAGATACTAAATTTTATTAAATTAAATTATGTAAACTTAAAAACAATAGATTTTTTTCATTTGAGATTTACATTAGAGTTTATTTTATTAATAAAGTACTGTCTCTAAATCTTATTACAGCTGCATTTAAAGCTAACATAACTATAAACTCTTTAGATTGCTATTTGAGCAAGACAGCAAATTCATATTTTTATTACAAGAAAGATAGATGTAAGGGATCTTCATGCTTTATAGTGTAAAGTGGGTAGACATCAGTTTTTCTAGTGTGTCCTTGCCCCACTTCCTTTCTCTTAGCAGTCTGCCTTTTACTCCTTTCTTGGTACTGTGTATATATGAATAAAGAATTGTGTGCTTTGCTGAGACAGACATGTTCTTGCAGAGAATGTTCCTTGTTTTGTTCCTGGGGTGGAAGATTAATTACTTGTACAGGGAGTGGAGAGTAAGGTGGAATGAGGCTAGAAAGGAGAAGGGATTTTTAATGACGGGAGAGACAGTACCCGGCTTTGTGGGGCATTGCAAAGTGGTGGGCATTGCGTGTAAGGAAAATTTTAAAGCAAGGAAGTACCATTATAAACTTTGTAAGTTGAAAAAAAAAAAAGATGACTATGAATAAAGTGGAGAGCAGATCTCCTGGAGGCAACAGAGAATATAGGAAGACTCTGCCCTTGTCTCCCTTAGACATAGCATGTTTTGGATTAGCATATATATAGTGGAGCTGAAGAAATGTGAATAATATCAAAATACTTCAGGTGAAATCAAAAGTGATCATTGACAACTTAGATATCTGGAAGAGTCAGAATATCCAAGACGACTCTTTGTCTCTGTTTGAATGTGGACCCTGATCTTCCCTAAGCTAGGGCACACTGAAATGCACTTTGTTGATGTGACCCAGTGAAAGACAATGGACTAGGATTCAACTGTGAGAACCTCCAATGTGATTACTAAGTTAAGAAGGATGAGACAGTAGAGGACAGCCAAGAAGTCAAAGAAGGAAGAAAATTAGTAAAGTATGTTACAAAGGTCAAGGGGAAAAAAGTATCAAAAAGGACGGAGCACTGTGTTGTGTGTTAGATCTAGTCAATGATGTTAAAAGCTGCTCAGAGACTAACTAAATTGAGAACCAAAATATATTAATTGCACTTAGCAACACGGAACATGGAAGTTCAGTGCACCATAGCAAGAACTGTTTCATTGCATAAAAGTCCTTTCTAGTAGATGCCTGGTAGAGAAGGAAGTGAGGAAAATCAGGCTTTCAAAATTTTGTTTATTTATATATTTATTGGCCACAAATGCTATTTTCTTTAGACATTAACATTTCTTTTTTGTCTTTGAAAATTAATTCACCACACAACAACAAAAACTCTGGATTCTTCTAGGGTTCCTAAATGCAGTCCCAGAGAATAGAACTCAGTGATTTCAACATAAGCTCTTCCACAATTTTTACTCTGAAAGAGAGTTCAATTGGGTGAGGCATATTATCTTCAGATTTTGTATTTATTTATCATCATAAATCTATTTTCATGTGCCAAGATAAAAATTTAAGATTCAATTAAATTATTAATATCCAAGTACATTTTTGAGGTATATGATATAAAAGAACATTTAATTATTTCATGAAAATTATACTTTATTTTAATTAGTTTTTATGAAAATGCTACTTCTCCTTTGGGGTAAGGAATAGAACATTTGTAAACATTTTAATATCCCTTAGGATTCATAAAAACAAACTTGCTCTTTGATATATTTTCTTTACTCTTTCTTTTTTTTTTATTGAAAATCAAAGGTGTTTTTATAATATTATCCCTAGGTTTTAGAATCATTTCTTAAGCCTGGGTTTAAACACACATTTACTGTCATAGAATTTATACTTTTGATGGCATTGTATTAGGTTATTAAGTATGAAATGTCCAATTTCCCTAAGTACTGTTTGACAGTTGATATTGTTGACATTACACTTTGCATTTTATACTTTTTTTTGAGTGTGTGAAGGCACTTACTCAGTCTTTCAAACACATGTTCTGGTTTGTGATTATCATTCATTTTTAGTTTTAGAGGAATTTTTGTGAAACTATGGATAAGCCAAAAATTTGTGTTGTTTTTGAATATAAGTTCCGTCATGGAACCAGTGCAGTGCACACAGCTCAAAATACCAACGAAATGTTTGGGAAGGATGTGGCTAATGAGTGCACCGTACATTGATGGTTTGAGTAGTTCCATTCTGGTGATTTTAATCTTGGAAATGAGCCCTGTGAGGAACCTGAGACCAATGGGGATAATGATGAGCTGAAAGCTGTTGTGGAAGCGAATCCTTCTCAACCTACATGTGAATTAGCAGCAAGGTTGACATCACAGTTCCAACAATATGGAACCATTTGAAACAAATGGGCAAGGTAAAGAAGTTGGATAGATTGGTACCTCATGAATTAAACAAGAAGAGAAATCATCTTGAAACTTGCCTTTCTTTGCTGTCACAACATAAAGGCAAACCATTTCTATACCGTATTGTTACGTGTGAGGAAAATGGATTCTTTTTGACAATTGCCAAGGGTTTGGCATAATCATTGGATAAGGATGAAGTGCTGAAACAGCTCCAAACTGAATATTCATTAAAAAAATAAAAAGCTAATGGTGTCTGTTTGGTGGTCCAGCACTGGTATTATCCACTACACTTCATGAAACTCGGTCCATTGATTACAGTAGATGTCTACTGCAACCAATTGGATGAAATGATGACGATGCTTATGATTAATCAGCTGAGATTGGTCAACAGAGACAGGCCAATTCTCTTGCAAGACAATGCTTGAGCACATGTCACACAAACTATGCCATTCAAACTACAGAAGCTGGACTTGGAAACTCTCTGTCATCCACCATATTCACCAGTCCTTGCACCAACTGATTACCAGGACCAGAAGTGGACCAGACTTTGGACCACTTCTTGCAAGGAAAAGTATTCAATTCTCAATAAGCTGTGAAAAACGCCTTTCACGATTTCATTGCCACTCATTCTCCAGGTTTCTTTGTTGCTGTCATAAACAAGCTACCATTAAGATGGCAAAACTGTGTTGATAGTTTAGGTGCATACTTAGATTAATTGTACTGCTTCTTGTTTGAGATATAATAAACTAAACTTTTGATTCAAAATTGGACATTTCATATTTAATGACCTATTACTTATAAGTCTAAGTGAAGAAGAATAAGTTCTATGTCTCTTATTTATTTTACAACATCATGGATCTATCATATTACATTTTCTCAGATGGTCTATGGTAAGAACAGGTACTTTGTTCATGGGCATAGTTTGATAGACCAGTGAAGTCATTTTAATATGTTCATTTAACTGCCAGTTTTTAAATAAGGATTTAACTCTCAAATTTGTATGTGTAAATATTACCTGCACTCATTCTCTTAGAACACATTTTTGTTTCGGGATTGTTTTTGAAATATTTCAGGTTTTTTTCCTTCTTTTATTTCTTGTTTTCTATTTGTGTATATGTCTGCATATTACAGGGATACAAATGTTTAGGTTGCATATATTGCCTTTGCCCCACCTGAGTAAGAGCTTCAAGTGAGTCTATCCCCCAGACAGTGTGCACCACACCCATTAGGTGTGAATATGCCTATCTCTCGCTCTCCCACTTGCACAACACATGATAAATATTACTACTATATGTGCACTTAAGTGCCAATAAGTTAATACCAATTTGATGGTGAGTACATGTGGTGCTTGTTTTTCCATTTTGCATATTTCAACCTTCACTTAGTAGAATGGGCTCTAGGTTCTATCAAGGATAATACAAGTGGTGATAGATTACCATTGTTTTTTTGTGGCTGAGTAGA